TAATCAAGCAGCCACATTTGAAATCGGTGTCTATTTCTGCTCCAATGTATTTTTTCTCTTCTAGATGGCACATATACGTCAGGATTTTGCCAGACAAACAGAAGAGATTGAGAATCGTGCAGCCAAACAGATGATCATGTTACGTGATCAAGTCGACACACAGCGTCGCGTCGAAGTGCACATGACAGAAGAGCATAAGAACAATCACATTCAAAATCTTGAGGCCAATCATGAAAGAGCTTTTGCGAATATGAAAGCTTACTACAATGATATTACTCTCGGGAATGTCAGTGTGATTAAAACACTCAGGGTAAGTCAGACGATATTATATAGCTTATTTCTCCACTTATTTGAACTACCATATACTCACTCACATCCAGCTGTTATAATATAAAAGATGGGAAAATTGAAAGGATAACACGATGGCGTGATAAAACAAACCATTCAAGAGGGACACATGCAAACGGGTATTCCAGTTACTTTTCTTCTGTGAATCATGGATCTGATTATGAGAATATTTATCAATCTGAAATAATGCATAACATTAACCTTGTTTTCCATTCTCGGGTGATTCGCTCAAACCGGCTATTCCAGAGAATCGTGTATACAAAGCTTCATCATTTCTGTTGACCGGAGTTCGTAGTCACGAGAACAACATTCGTTTGACTAGCTGTGCTTTTAGTAACATAATTAATTGATTATGATTTCAGTCAGTTGAAGTAAATTGGGTAAATAACTCTTGTGATTGACTACATTTAACTCTGTGAAATGTCGCATCGACCGGTAAGTGAATAATCACCTATCACATATTCACGTGTGACAGTGATAAACACGACAAGAATACAGTTTTAAGAAAGACAGAATAGTCTGTTGAGAGGCACGAGACAAGATTGTTTGTCACAACGTGATTTGAGCAGAATTCACACAATTCAGTTAAATATTTCTGACAAAGTTACGCATGCTGCTCAAAAGTGTAGCTTCGCAGTTCCACAACACAGCGATTATTTATTCAAAACTATCAGTTACTTTTGACTATCTCCAGACCCGTTACAAATTTAAGTACGACTAGAAGCGCAATTCTAGATATATTTGCTCCGTTGTTTCGAAAAAATTTCTCAACGCCTTCATACAGAAAAAGGGCAAGGTCTTATTGTAACGGGTCAAATTCCATTGAGATCCATCTTGTTTGTTGATGCTTCATAGTTCTTATACGAGTAATTACAGTCCCAGGTATCTGGATTGATAAAATGCGAAGCAGTAGCACATGCTTAACAATACTCGTCAAACAAAATGGAATGAATTTCAATAAGTGAGACGCTTTAGGGGGTACGCATGCATAGAAGAAAATCATTCAAACCTTCGAACCGTCACTGTTGTGAATAAGGTGATTGACTGTAATGAGCGGGCACATCTGTAACATGAAAGGTGGGAACCCAAATGCGTTCGAAAATGCGTCGGCGATCAAAATAGGCACCAGATAATAGCACAATTTCATGAGTAGCAACGCTGAACAAAGAAACAACTGTTAAAATACCCTCATTAAAGTTAGGTGAGGTACAATAACTCACAGATAACAAACAATAAACATTATCAGCATACGGTCCATTGGACATCGGTTTAGGTGGTTTAAAACTGAGATTTGTGGCACAATTAGGAAAAGCTTATAAAAAAACAATATTTAAATTAGCCTTACTCGAAAAGTGAGAAACATCAGAAAATAGAAGATGACATTTTCACACCTTTTTGTTTTCAAAAATGTACACGTTGGTAGAACTTTAGTCGGGATAAATTTATAATGAATATTAGAAACACTGCACTGTATGAAGATAATAGAGTTGACACCATGTCAGTATTTTTAAATATTTCTCCTTATTTCAGGAAAATATTGATGAATTGCGTTCTCAATTGGCTCGAATCCAAAGGTTGTTGGATAGTAGTCAGAATGAGTTGTCCCAGAAAACCAATGCATTGACCAAAATGGAAAAAGAAAACGCTCATTTGCGTCAAGTGGCCAAACTGTATGAGTGTGAAAAGAGTGCACACAGCGTGAGTCCAGGGTTTAGAAGGTACCATTTGGTTCTTTTAGTGATTTCCAGTTAACAGTAGTTAATTGTTTCTATTCCAAATTGGGATCAAAAAGACAAGGGTGAAAGTTTCGTCTTCTGGGCACAGATAACGTGCATGTCTGAACTGTTAAAATCCTGTATTCAAAAATTCAAAGAGTAACTTTCACGTTATCGAAGAAACATTTTTCTATTTCAGTGTGTTCACTTTAGCTTCAACCGATTCAGTGCCTCCCACAATTAATTAGCCGCAGCAGTATTTTCGTTAGTCAGTGGTTACATGAAAAAACCTTATAAGACCCTCGCCAAAAGGTCTGTCTGATATATTGTTGTGTATTGACTGTTGCTGAGACTGCTATTGCACCACCAATTTCCGAGTAGAAGAAGAGAACACAATCAAAATGGAACAGGACAGTATATTAGAAAAAAACGTGCCTTCCTTTTTGTCCTTTACGCGTTAGCATCTGTTCTTTTTGTTGCGTCCGGTGCGTTCTGAACGTTCGATATAAATTGACCAATCAGCGTCGTCAGATCGCCCGCTTAATTTGTCCGTCCGACCAATCAGAAACGTCGGACCGCCCGTGGTCAAATGCAGTGATCGATCATTCCGGCCCGGAGACTCACTCAGCTGCGGCTTCTTCTTTTGGCTATTCTCGCCAAACATATGGATTTTTCGACCGGATTTTTTCGATTTTAACTTCTTCGACACCTCCCCCTTTCGGATGATCAGTATAAGACTTCCATCTCGGATCAACTTGAAATGGCGCAACCTGCTTTCTAATACGATTGGTCCGCCGTCTAGGCTGCATCGCAACGTCACTGACTGTCGGCATGGGTGGAACGTCAGCTACAGGTGGAGATGTCTTCAAGTCAAAAGTTTCCAGTAGCAGGTCGAGATTCAGTGACTCGGTCGATTTATAGGAATTGGACACTGTATTCGATGCAGTTGGTTGATGTGCCACTTCCACAACCAAGTACCCGATTGGACATTGTAAATCACACGACCAATTCTTTTTTGGATGTGTTCGACGGTCCAGCCTGCGTGACCAGGACGATAATCTCTGACGAGTACTCGATCCCCTGGTTGGAATACTGGTACATCTTTTGACCCATTGTATGGGTTTGTGCTACTTAGTCGAATGGCGTCGTGCGTTAGTCTCAATGGCCTGTTCATCAAGACGTCTGCGGGAGAACGGTTGTCCGAGCACTGTGGATTCTGTGTAGCCCCGTAATTCAACAAGAACGTGTCTAAAATTTCTTCCGTTGTCCCCTACTCCTTCGACTTGGTCAGTGCACGTTTGAAGGTGTGCACAAATCTTTCCTTTTGTCCATTTAACTGCGGGTGAAACGGAGGGGAGGTGATGTGCGTGATACCCTATTTTCTGATGAATTCGGAGAATCGCTGTGATGTGAACTGACTGCCATTAACGGACACAAGCGTCTCCGGAACACCGAAAAAGGAAAATAAATGGCGTAACTTCGAAATTGTTGTCGTTGTGGTAGTATCTCGTATGCCGAAAATCTCTGGCCACTTGCTGAAAGCATCGACAACAATCGGGAAACTCCGACCATTGATCGGTCCATCAAAATCAATATGGAGGCAAACCCATGGCTTTTCTGGTCTCGGCCAAGGTTGTGGTAATTATCGGTTGGGTAGTTTTTGTGCAGCGGCACACTGAAGACAGCTCCGACATATCCTCTCCAATTATTCATCCATTTTGGGCCAATAAACATAACTTCGGGCGAGAGCTTTCACCGGTTTATTCCGGGGTGTCCCTTATGGAAATGGGTCAAAATCCTGCAGTGCAGTGCTTCAGAGAAAACCACTCGATCGGCAAAGAGAAGGCAACCACCAACGACCGATAGTGCATTTTGACGTTGAAGCAGTTGTCCCGGTTCTTCGGGTGGACAAGTAGAAGGCCAATGTGACTGATGATAATGCATCGCTCGTTGCAACACATTTTCGCTGCTGGTAGCCTCACGAACCATATCAGCGGTAACCGGTAGATGTTGGATTGTTTCTTGAACAACTGCTTTGATTTCAGATTCCAAAGCGATTGATGCAATAACTGCTCTTTCTGGTTCCTGGTTGTGGGGATTGGTCAACCGCGAAAGGGCATCTGCTTGGCCAATCTTATCCGTCGGAGTGTACATAATGAAGTTGTACCCAGGGAGTATTGTAGCCCATCGTTGTAACCGATTGGAAGTGTAGATAGGGATACCTTTCGTTGAACCAAAGACTGCAAGGAGCGGTTTGTGATCGATGATGAGAGTAAAATGCCCTCCATACAATATTCTGTGAAACTTTTTGATCGCAAAAATGATTGCCACGGCTTCTTTCTCAATTTGACTGGAATCGCGCTCTGCTGGTGCTGAGAATCGTGCAGCGTGTGCGATCGCCTTTTATATACCGTCCGGGAATTCGTGGGCTATGGCTGCCCCCACTCCGCGGTTGGAGGCATCAGTTGTGAGAATGACTAGTATTCTGGGATCAAAATGTGTCAGCTCGAGGGATAATCGGACCATCAGTGTTGGGCTAATCCACAAGCCACCGGTCAGTCGAGGTAGATCGTTAATACGCTCACATGACTGGATGCACAATATTGTCAAATAAACTCGAATGACCGAATGTGTTACAAATTGTGTTAAGCCAGTTAATGAAGTTAGGGCGCAGATGTTGAAATCATTGCAGTGAACGTGAACTAACTATAATTTGAGTGAACTATGTGTAAAATACTTTTGTTACATGCGTGTTAATCATTATTTGTCCCAAAAACAACTGAATGTTGGAAGGTACTATCTTATTTTATTGAAGCGTGAACTCCCAGGAATATTTATTTTTCTCCCTAGAATGAAAAGCTTTACTTTCTTCACGGAGAATAGACGTTTCAGTGAAGAAATTGATGCTCACGAAAAACCTGTACCATGTTGGCATTTTGTTCTTCATGGGACATTTAGCTTCTCTACGGAGAAATCCAAACGATTGTGAAGAATGCCTGAGATACTTGGTCAGCCACCACCGCCTTTATTACAAGTACAGGAATTTCAACAATATTTTCTGACTCAAGAAAAATGTTTTGCAATGATAGTGAATCAAGACAAAGAACAAACATCTGTTTCGTGCTCTTTGTTAACAGATACAAAGTTTTTGCACATTTAGAATAAACACTGAAGCTGAACCATCTACAAAAGTCTGACGGATTGTAGCTTTTCCAAAGGTATACAATACATCTACTACATTGTACGAGCAAGTTGCATGCTCACATACCACCTGACTTCTGATCCTTGGCTCTGGGTAGGAATAGAAACTGACCCCGGGAATAAACATAATCTGAACACATTAGAATAATTGAAAACGTGGTTAACACGTTTTTAGCGTGGTTCGTTGAGTTTGTGCGTCAGGTCAATCTCATTCACAAGCGATATGTTCTCCCTCAATCAGCTTACCAAACAAAATGCAAAGAAGACACAAACGGTACTACAGAAAACCGAAACCAATTTGAATATCATGACGGCTCGGTATGAGGGGGTGAGTTTCACTTTATGAAGCTTTTGGACATTGTGACTTTCGTTAAAGTCTAAGTATTAGGAAGATAAATAGGAAAATGAACGTTTCTTTTCTGATCACAAATCACTCGATATTTTCCAATATTTAGTAAATGGGGGACGTTAAAACTTGATTCCATACTCAACGATAAGACGATGACTTTTACAGTAACCTTGTAAAACGCTGCTTGAGTATGATCATCGCCGAGACAAAGAATCACTCACTGCATTATTCGGACTCACTGAACAAGCGACCGATGAAATTAATCAGAAACATTAGTGTTGTATTGGGTTTTGTCGTTCTTCTATGTCCTCTTATTGTTGTTTTAATGTGATAAAACAGTACACTAGTGTGAGTCTGAACACTTTCTGGAAACCTACGAAATTGCTACTGATTATGGTTTGATATCCTTAACTTATTCGTGGTGTTATACGCGTATTTGCAAAGTTTTGTTACAGTGCGAGTGAAGTACACAGATATGCATAGAATGTTTCATTCTTGGGTTGGAACCATTCCAAACCTGTGGAAGTAGGGATTCGGTAAGAAAGGCAAAACTCTTCACACAAAGCATTCATTCTACTGTGCAGTACGTTTATTTCAGCCCTGTACCGTCGGCCAGTTTGATGCTATCAACCATAGGTGATACTTAGGTGTTGAGGACTGAGCAGTTCCTTAAACTGAACAAAGTTGCACAAGAAACATAAGGTGCTCGTCCTGGGATAACGGAACTAATTGACCGCAGAAATTTTAGACTTACATGCTTGCATATCGTTCGACAGTCAAATTCCCCTTTGCTTAGTATATCCATTGATAAAATGGCCAAATCTACCGTGTGGGCTTACATTTCCGAATAAATTGTCACTATTTATTTTGTTGAGAATTAATAGGAATATCCTGTAAAGATTGACACTTTTTGATTCACTCTAGTATTTTAAATTTTAGGGTAAACCTGTTACATGGCATTATAGAATTCTCGTTATGACAATTTTTAAACACTTTGATGATTTGTGATCGGATCCGTTTCCTTCAAAAATTGAGATCATATTTCTATCCCACCATGCCAAAATTTAAGCGGTAAGAAGTGGGAATTTACGGCTGTTCAGATTGAAAAGTGAGCTTGCTTCATAAACCGAACCGGACCGATCGGGTGCGATGCGTTATACCCATTCCAAGGGAAACTAAGCACATTGACTGAACGCACTTGTGTTTTAATAGTATTTTTTTGTGATCTTGATATTTACTCTGTTGATTTTGGATGTAAGCACGATCAAGTTTAATTTTGCCTTAAATTCGTTCAGTATCTGTTGAGGTGAATGTCACAGCTGTATCCCCGAATCAATAAGTGTATAAAATTCAAATATGAAGTTCCAGTAAAAATGTTTGTGATAACCGAAAAAGGCACTCACTGGATAGCTATTTCGTCCTATTTGGGACTCGTCAGTAGTGAAGTTCCACCGTTTCGGATGTTCAGACCTTTTTCATAAAAAGCCAAAGGAAGTTGTGGAAGTTTAAAATATAAATATCAACAGATGTAGAAAATCGGTTGATTCACGTAATTTTCAATTAGATGCCGAACTGGAGAATTCATTCGCACACGTTTCATCCCAGTCAAAAACAAATACACTACTTATGAGCTCTCGAGTCTATAGTGCTTTAGAGTGTATGGTAGACAGGAAGAGCTGAGAGTTGTGCGTGAAGGGGAAGTCTGAATGGTGGTCAGTTGCAATCAATAATATGAGTCAAGTAAAATTACCAAGAGCTTTGTGGAAAGAAATAATGGCCAAAATATCGAGGCGCAAACTAGAACACTTGACAAGATACCATAATTTTGGCCAGCTTTGTTTCTGATATTTAACCTGAATGAATAATTTTTTAATTGAAGCAAGATTACCAAAACAGTCATTTCCGCTTTTGTTTTCGTTCATACTGCCTTTCCGGTTTGATTAGCTGAATAAAATGCGCAGTACGTTGGCCACTCAGTTCGAACATATTCTGTTAGAAGTGGAACAGCGTATGGGTTTGCGAGCCCTTTTGGTCGAAAGGAAATTGCAACATTTAGCCCAAGTTCTGGAGGCACGTGAAGCACAAATAATGCAACTGGTGATCGCACTCGAAGGTGATCCGGGCTCGGTGGCTCAAGCAAGACAACATTTGGAGGTAGGTGCACAGGAAACCAGAAGAGCAGTGTATATAGTATAGTATATATAGTATATAGTATATAATATACCTTTGTTATTGTTGTTTTCAAATCTTAACACTCACCAGCTAAAATCTCCAAAACAATAACCTCCCCGTGAAATAAATCCGACAGCATACTTTCGCCATGACTCTTGGTTATAGGCCCCACTCAATCAAATCCTTCATAATGATTTTGACTCCAAACAATAATTTTTCCGATTATCATGTGATTTTACTTACTCTTTACCGCATGTTTATTTAACTGTTCGGCTAGACGGCTTATTTATCTGTTTATATTGAAGCGCAATTCGAATGTTTTCAGGCAGATAAGGGAGATATGCCCAAATCCGCTGAATTTAATCGAAAAAGCACTGACAACGAAGAAGACACAAATGAGAGCTATGTGCACACCATTCCTCAGCGTACAATGTGAATATGAACTTTTACTGGAACAATGACACAGACTCGTTTTCAATGTGCTTCTTAAGTATGTCAGTACACGATGCATTTGACTAAGTAATTATTGGGATTCGAGAAATAAGGGGAGAGTGAATTACATGCTCGTACATTTGGATCTCGGTTGTTCTCCCAGCGTTTATCAATATAAGGCCACCAATGATTTCGATTAATCATCTTTCAGACTCCATCCTCACGCATATTCCCCAGTTTATCCAGCTAATCATACAGTCGAAGTTTCCCCAAGTACTGATGACCTATCGCCCTGTGCTGAAGTCGACAATCATCATCTGTTTGAGGACTTCCGGATGTTCGACCGAGGCGATTAAG